AGACAGGTTTAGGGGCAAATACAGTTAATTCTGACTTGTCAAGTAGAAGATTCACCTGGTGATGTTTTCCTGGGGGCCTGGGGTATAAGGTCAGAGTTGAGGAGAAGGTCGGGCAGGGATGGAGATGGAGAACTCCCAGTCACGGGCATGGCCTTGGATGCCTTCGAGAGGAGAGAGAGATTTCACAGCATCTCTTAGATCGAGTCTTCCCAGGACATGAGTTAACCGATGACGGCCATTAGATAACAAGAGGCCTTCAGAGCCTGGCAGCACCCCTTCCCTGAAGTGCCCCTAAAGGAAGCACAGGGACCGGAAACCATCAGGGGCATATGCTTTGTTCTCTGTGGTGGTCACTGCTCGGGGAGACTGAGGTGCCTGAGCGTTAACTTCATTCATCCCACCTTCCTTCTGAGGAACTTCTCCAGTTTTCTAATCGGTGACGTGTTTTCTTGAATTCCTCTTCCTGGCAGATGGGGGATAAACATAATTTTGTATTATTTTTGAAAGATGAGAGTGTGTTGAGCACAGAACCTTAACCTTGAACGTTTGGGATGACCACGTTGCCCAGGTACCCCAATGGCCCATTGTCATACGTGCAGAAATGAGAAGCAGGACTTTAAAAGCCAAGGGTCTCCCTGGCTGTTGTGGCTCAGTTGGTTGGGTGTTGTCCCGTGCACCGATTCCCGGTCAGGGCACATGCCCAGGTTGCAGGTTCAGTCCCCAGTAGGGGGTGTGTAGGAGGCAGCCGACTGATGTTTTGCTTTCACATTGATGTATCTCTCTCCCTCTTTATCTCCCTGCCTTTCTCTCTTAAAATCAGTTTTTAAAAAACCTTCTAAAAAGTAAGAGGTTCAGCTTGTGCCTGGCTTCCCGCCGTTCCTAGTTGCGTCTTTCCTGACGTCACAGGATGAATCAGCACAGACAACATGAATGTCTCTGAAGGCCTCAAGCTGGGTAGCATGTGATTCTGGTGCCTGATTCATTCCTCCTGCGGCCCAGGTGCCTGGGTGTCAGCTGGTCAGTGTTGCTCTTCTCTTCGTCTGCGGGGGCCACTGGGGCCGCGGCGTCCTGCTGGTGTCTGCGTCAGGGAAGCTTAGCATGCGTGAGTCACCCACGGTTCTGAAGGCTCCTTTTCTCTTTCCTTCTTGCTATTACCAGAGGCTCTGCCTCAGCGCTCTCCTCTATTCCAGCACACGCAGAAGGCTGTGCCTGTGGGCCGTTCCTCTTTGAAGGTTTGAGTTGCACTAAATATTTATAACGCGTGGACAAGCCCTTGAAAGGGGTTTTAGTTCCCTAGGATAGATCTCTTGCCTTACGGAGGCCTTTTGATGATAAGAACTCCCACAGGCTCCAGATCAGGGCTGTGTCACGTAGGAACTCCTCTTGGACATCAGGAGGCAGTTGCTCATTAAAGGGCCCATCTCAGCTTTGCCCGGGACAAGGCGACAGCAGGCTCGTGGCTGGCTGTGGCCGCGTTGCTCAGACTGGTAGTCAGCTGTGTTGTTGATGCCTCAGGAGCCAGGAGGGGGGCACCGAGCTGCGTGTGTGAGTGTGTGTGTGTGTGTGTGTGTGTGTGAATTGGTCTGGACTAGAGCTAGAGCTGGCAGCACAGGGACGTGGCATTAGGTAGTCCAGGCACCAAGAAGTCCCCTTGACTGTGAATCAGAATAGAAACCGTTCTCACGCATGCTGCAGGGCCTGGCGCGTTAGGTGGCCGACATGTGTTACTTGTTAGTTGTTAGAAGTTGCGCAGCAAAGGGCAGTACGTAGAGCAACGAAGGCACCGCCTCCAGGGAGAGTAGTCAAAACCAAGAAGAAGAGGGAACAGGCTCAGGGCGGTCTGTAGAGCAGATGTGCCATCCAGCTGCGGATGCCCGAGTCGGTGCAGCCTCCACAAGGACCTGAAATCAACTGCCACATGCGGATGGCCCTGGTCGTGTGTCTGCCTCCTTCCTGTGACGCTTCTGCCCGTGACTGGGGTCACAAGCATTCTAAGTGAGCAATCAGAGGCTTCTCGAACCCAGTCCGTGGGTGCCTGATAGCAGAAGCCGTGGGTTGCGGATTGGTTTTGAATGGTGGTCTCTGATTTCTCCCACCGCCGTCTCCAATTTCTCCCACCACAATGGTGGAAGGTGGAAGTGAATAAGTGAATTACGAAACACCTGAAGGATAAACACCCCGTGGTCATTAAAAACCACATTTTCAAATGACATTTGCTGATACGGGAAGATTCTCATTGTGAAATGTCATGTGAAGCAAAGCAAGAGGCTATATCTCGACCCATATGGGGGTCCAAATAAATTCCTTTTGAACAAATGACCATTTCCCAGATGAATGGGGAGGAAACCTCAGATGGTGGTGTAAAAAGTGTGAGTCTGTTGATGAATACTGCTCTTGGGCTCTTGAAGTGAAATGTTGTGGACTTGTGGCCAAGAGGTCTGGGCGCTGTCCAAGCTCTGAACCCTTTGGAGCTCAGTATGCTCATCTGGAGGCGGAGGGGACAGTCTGCTCTGGGATGGTCCAGAAGGGCCCCTGTGGGTCCCACGTGCTCTGAGTTGCCCTTTGAGACTGTGGACAGAGCACAGGCATTGAGACGGACCCCGTGGGCAGGTCTCCTTGGTCTGCGTCACTTTGTCAGCCGGACCTGATCGACCTTGACCTCCTCTTGCTCCCCATTGTTTCATCTGACTGTCTCGAGTTTCTACCTCCGGAGCCACTCCTTGCTGCTGCTGGGTAAAGAGGCCTCTTGATTTATTAATCAATTAATCAGTGCACGCTGAGGGGCTGTTCAGGGTAGTGAAACAAGGAAAACAAGATGCTGGGGACTGTAATCAAGATGGATCGTAATGAAGAACGGCCCTCCCGCCCCTGAGCTTCCTGCCGCCCTGGTGACCCACGCCCCCGCCCTCACCCTCAGCTCACCCAGCCCCGCTCGGCCCTGATGGCTGACAGCAGCTTTCAGAAAGGCAGGTTTTCTCCTGGGTCCTTGAGGAAGCTAGGCCTCGAGAGAAGCCTCATCAATTATTTGCAACAATTGTTGAATCTCAAAAGTTCAACCAGGCCCCAGATATGGCCGGGTCGCTCTGTCCACATGGGTGGACACTGTGTTCTTCTGTCCCGGTTCCCTACAAATGGAGCTGGAAGGGCCTGATGACAAAGGTATGTGTGACCGATGACAGGTCTGTGAAGCTAAGGCAGTTGTCCAGGGTCACACAGCTAATTCGTAGCAGAAATGGAGCTAGACCCCACGTTTTGATACCCAGTTAACACACCTGCTGCTTAGTTCTCTGTGCAGTCCTGCCTTCCTGGAAAAATTAGAGCAAAGGAAATGAAAGAAAGTGTCCTCAGTAATTTCCTGATCTCTCTTGGGTCAGGGCTTCCGCGCTAAAGAGTTTTTAACAGTAGTTTTAGATGAACTTTGTGGGGACAGTAACTTGGGCTGTATGTCAAGGGGATAGTTTTCTTCTGATTGATCAGGATATCGGGATTCAGAATCAGGCACGGCCAGCTTGCCACGGGGCAGAGGTCAGCAGAGTGAGTCTGCGAGGTTGGCTGGCCGCTGGAGCTGGCTGGGTCTCAGGCCAGACTCTGTTGAGTTTGGTTTTCTTCCAGTGGCACGTGGCACACGGTGCTCATGAGGCCGCGGTTTTCCTGCAACAGAATCTCTGCTCAGGGTCACAGGCAATACCTCCATTCATTACCAGCTTCCCATGGTTCATAGGGGCCGGGTCACAGGCCACTTGTCCAGAAGGACTGTGCTCAGCCCGCCGCGCCTGGACTAACACCCATACCTCCTAGCGACATGGTGCGGGGATCCAGGTGCGGTCATGATCCTTCAGACACAAGGAGAAGAACCTGGAATGTATTGACTGGCCTGGCAAGGAGGGTGCTTAGAAATCTCTCATTTTTAACAATTTCTGAGGTCTCCGCTATAAAAGCCTTGCGTTTGTGAAATGTGCTTGTCACCCGGGGGCTCTTCTGCCTCATTCCTGTGCTCATTTCTGTGGGATGTCAATCCAGCGCTTTGAGTAACTCTAGGACAGCGGTTCTCAACCTGTGGGTCGCGACCCTTTGGGGGTCGAACGACCCTTTCACAGGGGTCGCCTAAGACCATCGGAAAACACATATATAATTACATATTGTTTTTGTGATCAATCACTATGCTTTAATTATGTTCAATTTGTAACCATGAAAATACATAGTGCTTAGAAATCTTTCATTTTTAACAATTTCTTAAGTCTCCGCTATAAAAACCTTGCGTTTGTGAAATGTGCTTGTCACCTAGGGGCTCTTCTGCCTCACTCCTGTGCTCTTTCTGTGGGATGTCAATCCAGCGCTTTGAGTAACTCTAGGACAGCGGTTCTCAACCTGTGGGTCGCACGTGTTTCCACTTTGGTCATTATCTTTTCTCAGTTGCTTACATTAGCACAGACCCCAAGTTTTCCTATAGCAGTGATTCTCAACCTTGGCTGCACATTAGAATCACCTGGGAATCTTTTTAAAATCCTGACTTCTGGGCCTCATCCAGAATGTGACCCTGGGCACCTCTCACTCCATCCAGAATGAGGCCCAGACATCAGGATTTTAAAAAGATTCCCGGGTCCCCACCACATGAGGAACTGTATTAAAGGGTCGCGGCCTTAGGAAGGTTGAGAACCGCTGCTCTAGGACTTAGTGTATGTAAACCGGCATCTGAAGCGTGCTCACCAGGCTCCCCTTGGTTCTGCTTGTGTGTTCCACAGGACCCGGCCTTCTCGGCTGTCATCCACGACAAGCTGCAGGTCCCCAACACCACCCGGAAGGCCTGGAATGACAGGGACAACCGCTGTGACATTTGTGCGACGCACCTGAACCAGCTGAAGCAGGAGGCCATCCAGATGGTGGTGACCTTGGAGCAGGCGGCGGGCAGCGAGCACTACGACGGCTCCCCCGGCTCGCCCCCACCCCTGCCCAGCATGACCTTCCACTGAGATGTAGGGACTCAGGCTCCCTTACCTAACATGCCAACATGTTGCAGGGGCCTCAGAGCCTTCCGCCAGATCTCGCACAACCAGGACTGGGCCTTCGTGCCCGCCTCCTACGCCTCCTCCAACTACGCGGCCTTCGTCACCAGCAAGCACAACGGCAAACCCAACAGCCTCGGCGTCAGCAATGGGGCCGAGAAGAAGAGTGTGTCCCCCACCCATCAGGCCAAGGTCAGCCTCCAGATGGCCACCAGCCCCAGCAACGGGAACATCCTCAACGCCGTGGCCATCCAGGCTCACCAGTACCTGGATGGCACCTGGTCCCTGTCAAGAACCAACGGGGTCACCCTGTACCCCTACCAGGTGAGTAGCCCCTGAGCAAGGCAGAGCAGGGCTGGTTGGAGTCAAAGCAGAGAAGTGGGCAGGTGACGCTGCCTTTCTCCACTCTTGTGCTTCTGGAAACTCCCAAGCTCAGAGCCTGATGCTTCCACGTGGCCCCCGTGGACATTGCTAACCACGGATAAAACACGTGAGAAGCCACTGACCCACGATAACACTCTGCTTCCATTGTCCACAGTGTCTACAGGACGTGTAGACTCCCTTCCCAACCTCTCCCATCTGAGGGACCATAACCCTTTGCTGTTTGCCGTGAGGTTTCCACACGTGTTTCCACTTTGGTCATTATCTTTTCTCAGTTGCTTACATTAGCACAGACCCCAAGTTTTCCTATAGCAGTGATTCTCAACCTTGGCTGCACATTAGAATCACCTGGGAATCTTTTTAAAATCCTGATGTCTGGGCCTCATTCTGGATGGAGTGAGAGGTGCCCAGGGTCACATTCTGGATGAGGCCCAGAAGTCAGGATTTTAAAAAGATTCCCAGGTGATTCTAATGTGCAGCCAAGGTTGAGAATCACTGCTATAGGAAAACTTGGGGTCTGTGCTAATGTAAGCAACTGAGAAAAGATAATGACCAAAGTGGAAACACGTGTGGAAACCTCACGGCAAACAGCAAAGGGTTATGGTCCCTCAGGTGGGAGAGGTTGGGAAGGGAGTCTACACGTCCTGTAGACACTGTGGACAATGGAAGCAGAGTGTTATCGTGGGTCAGTGGCTTCTCACGTGTTTTATCCGTGGTTAGCAATGTCCACGGGGGCCACGTGGAAGCATCAGGCTCTGAGCTTGGGAGTTTCCAGAAGCACAAGAGTGGAGAAAGGCAGCGTCACCTGCCCACTTCTCTGCTTTGACTCCAACCAGCCCTGCTCTGCCTTGCTCAGGGGCTACTCACCTGGTAGGGGTACAGGGTGACCCCGTTGGTTCTTGACAGGGACCAGGTGCCATCCAGGTACTGGTGAGCCTGGATGGCCACGGCGTTGAGGATGTTCCCGTTGCTGGGGCTGGTGGCCATCTGGAGGCTGACCTTGGCCTGATGGGTGGGGGACACACTCTTCTTCTCGGCCCCATTGCTGACGCCGAGGCTGTTGGGTTTGCCGTTGTGCTTGCTGGTGACGAAGGCCGCGTAGTTGGAGGAGGCGTAGGAGGCGGGCACGAAGGCCCAGTCCCGGGGCGGCTGCAGCCCGCCCCCCTGCCTGGTCCCCCCAGGACCTGGGTAGAAGGATGTGCACAGACCATTTTACGTAGAACAGCAAAACCCTAAACTCTGCGAACCGATGCCTGGTCACATAAATTAGGACCCATTCCTATAATGGGTAGTACTTATATAATGGAATATTACGCTACCATTAGACATCGCATTTCAGCAAAATAGATAATGGCATGGGAAAATGCACCCGGTATACGAAGCAGCAAGCAGGGAAGAGGGAGTGTGGAGGCTCTCACAGGGAGGCTGGGGGCCCAGCCTGGAAGGGTGTCGTTAACGTCCATCCACTTTCCAGTGGCAAGAGCCCAGGCTCCTGGCCCCACCTTCCCTCCGGGGAGCCTGGGAGAGTCAGTCCGTCCATGTGCCCAAGAGAAGCAAGCAGCAAGTTGAGTGGACACAGAGCGTCGTTTTTGTTCACGGGGCACAGGTACAGGGAAACATAAATGAGTTCACTGTGGCCGATAAGCTTCCTGGTAACTTTTCTAGAGTGCGAGAGGAAATATAGATCGCTTCTCGTGATTTCTTGCAAAAAAAAAATGGGGAGCATGGATCATTATCTTAAGAAGTACACATTCTTGGGCGGGCAGACATTGATTCACTGGGTGGTTCGTAGCTTACAACATACAGCGTACCCAGGATTGTGTTAAACCCTAGAACAGGCCTACGAGGGGGGCGGGGCAGATGTCAACTTTTCTTTTGAATTTGAAGTTGAATGGCCTGTGGCCACAGTTAGTGACAGAAGCAAGACAAGTTAGCACACACTCCCAAGTTTTCCTATAGGAATAAGAGAGCAGGTCTTAAATCTGCCAAGGAACCGAAACAAATTCTCTTAATTTTTCTTGGCTGAGTTTTCTGTTGGACGAGGGTTGGGTTTGCTGTATGTGTTCCCTTTGTCCCCTGCGAAAGCGTTGACTGTCACTGTGGAGTGCGAGGTGCCCAGGGTCATGCAGTGTATCAGTCAGGGAAGATAACTGGTGTAACAGATGAGCTCGGGGTATGTATTTCTCATATCTCTGTTGTATTGGTGTTTGGGGGGTGGCCTTCCACTGAGATGTAGGGGCTCAGGCTCCCCTACCTAACATGCTAACATGTTGCAGGGGCCTTGGGGCCTCAGAGCCTTCCGCCAGATCTCGCACAACCAGCCAGGACCTGGGTAGAAGGATGTGCACAGACCATTTTACGTAGAACAGCAAAACCCTAAACTCTGCGAACCGATGCCTGGTCACATAAATTAGGACCCATTCCTATAATGGGTAGTACTTATATAATGGAATATTACGCTACCATTAGACATCGCATTTCAGCAAAATAGATAATGGCATGGGAAAATGCACCCGGTATACGAAGCAGCAAGCAGGGAAGAGGGAGTGTGGAGGCTCTCACAGGGAGGCTGGGGGCCCAGCCTGGAAGGGTGTCGTCAACGTCCATCCACTTTCCAGTGGCAAGAGCCCAGGCTCCTGGCCCCACCTTCCCTCCGGGGAGCCTGGGAGAGTCAGTCCGTCCATGTGCCCAAGAGAAGCAAGCAGCAAGTTGAGTGGACACAGAGCGTCGTTTTTGTTCACGGGGCACAGGTATAGGGAAACATACATGAGTTCAACGTGGCCGATGAACTTCCTGATAACTTTTCTAGAGTCCAAGAGGGAATATAGATCGCTTCTCGTGATTTCTTGCAATAAAAATAAAAATTGGGAGCATAGATCATTATCTTAAGAAGTACACATTCTTGGATGGGCAGACATTGATTCACTGGGTGGTTCGTAGCTTACAACATACAGCGTACCCAGGATTGTGTTGAACCCTAGAACAGGCCTACGAGGGGGGCAGGGCAGATGTCAGCTTTTCTTTTGAATTTGAAGTCGAATGGCCTGTGGCCACAGTTAGTGACAGAAGCAAGACCAGCTCTCTCCTGCCGAGAGGAAGGGGTTCCCCTACATGGCTGCTCCCGGCGCCCCCAGAGCTACCTGCTGCCCACTGCATTTCCGGGGTGGCTCCTTTGCAGACACGCACCCCAAATAAAAGGGCTCCTATTTTAACCTGCAGGGGCCCGGCTGCCACTTCACTTTCGGGCAGAACTTCCTGGGCTGTGGGGATGAGTATAATGAGGAGCCAGTGGCACCCTGGGTGGCTTTGCGGTCGAGAGCTTGAACTTGACCGTCGAGGGCAGGAGCAGAAGAGCTTCTTCCCGTTGGTGAATAACATGCCTCTTCCGTTTGTAATTTTAAAACAGGCTGTTTTGAAAATGACAAAAAGTAACCCATGTCTGTGGTAAAACAAAATAAAAAAATATATGAAAAAGTTCAAATAAGACTTTAAAAATCAACATCCCCCAGAAATAGATGGTGTAACATTTGGGTCTATTTCCTCCAAGTCCTCTGTATACCCATAATTGGTAAAATAGTGATCACGTCCCATTCTGTGATCTGCTTTTTGCTGGATATACTGGGTGCATTTTCCCACGGCGTCCTCTATTTTGCTAAAATACGATCTAATGGTAGCACAATATTCCATTATATGAATACTATCCATTCTGTGACTGTGGCCTAATTTATGTAACCAGGCATCAGTTCGTAGAGTGCAGGGTCTTGCTGCTCTTTGTAAAAGCTGGCCCGCTGGGGCGGTGCCAGGGCCGGTCCCGGGCAGAGAGGACCCAGGCTCTGTCACTGCTGGGGTGCTGCTCCTCACTCACAGCCCGGGCCTGAGAAGCAGGAGGAAAGGACACTGCCCTTTGACCTTTTAAGGAGGATGGCAAAGACTGGGACGGGTTTGTAATAGTGAGCAGGGGAACCTGTGTGTGGGCGATAGGAGGCTCTCAAGCCATCGAGCCCCATTACCCACAGCACCGGGCAACCATCTGTGATCAGCTTCCGAAGAAAGACTTCCTTCTGTGAGCTTGCAGACATCTGCCACAGTCTGTGTGCAAACGTGAAAGCAGAAAAGGCTCTAGAACAAGCATGCCAAACTCAAAGGCTAACACGGGCCAAATAAACGAGGCATGTGGCCCGCGGGCCGCGAGTTTGACATGCTTGCTCTAGAACCTTCATGGACCTCATGAGTTTTGACTGATTAGTTCCTTATAGTCAGCCATACATTAACTGGTTTTGAAGGGCAGCTGCTTTTGCCTGCTTTCCACTCATCACAGTAAATAAACTGCAGGAAAGACTGTATACATAACACTCAGCATCATAGAAGGTTCCAGAGTCACAGAATGACAGCATCCACTCCTGTAGGATGGAGGAGTGGATGCCTCGTTCAAGTCCACGGCCCCGCCAGGTGTTGAACCACAGTTTAGTAGCTTAACATCTTAGTCTGTTTTCTTCCTATGAAATCCCTACCTTGTACGACTATTGTGGAGGACAATTAAGAAAAAAATGAAACTTTTATAAAGTATAAGGCAGGGATACTGATGTGGATTGCCTATTTCAACCCCCTCATTCGCTAGAGGAGAACCCCGAGGCTGAGAGAGAGGAAGTTGCTTTTGTTCAGTTTCCTGAATCTTGGTTTAGTCTCTTCTGCTGGATCACAGGCTCACTGAGGAAGTGGGTCCATTTTATTCTCATGTCCCTCCCAGCAGCTAAATGTGTAAAACTGGGTGCTCGTTAGAGAAAGCTTCAGTCTCAGGGAAACATGAAAGGTCTTTCTTATGCTGGGCCCTAGATTTTGGGAAGAAATTGCAGGCCAAAAAAATCTATTCGGACCCTAAGACTTTTGGTGGAAACCACCAGTTAGTTGGCGCCAAGCTAATCTTTAACCCAAAGTACCCTTGA